ACAGAACTTGTAAACAACTCCTTGATAATACAGATTGAAGCTTGGTGTTAATTAGTTTTAAAGCTTTTTCATATATATATAATGGACCGAGGAAAATGACGAGAATGATCGTTTTTTTATAAATTTTAAATTATTTATATATTTTTTATTAAAAAAATTGTTTTTGTTCTTTAAAATTTTATAATTCGTTTTCCTTTTAAATATTTATAATTCATTTATCTTTATATAAAATTATGTATTCTTCTATATATATTTATCATAAATCCAAAAAATTTTAATAATTTGAGATAATTATACTATAATATTCGTTCATTTTTTTTAATTATTGTTAAGACATATTGTAACACCCTAATTTAGGGCTAAATTTTAGAAATTATAAAGTATTAAATTTAAGTTGTATTTTGGAAGAAATTGAGGATTTAAGTGTAAAATCGTAAAGTTGACAGACCATTTTAGAAAGTGTAGGAAATTCAGGGACCCAGTCCTGAATTTACCCATTTTTCTTAAATGTTGAATTATAAACTCTCTATCCCCATGTAATCTGGTTTTTCCCATATTAATTTTCCCAGGTTATTTTTCTCATTTTCTCTACCCCGCCAACCCTCATTTCACATCTGATTTCTCTACCGTCCGACCACCGTTCGTCGATCTGAAACCATCATCGCGTTCGTTATCAACCGATTAACAAAAGCCCTCAAACATCTCATCGTGAATCGGCATCGTTCGTCGTAAATCTCAATTAGAAGTATCATCGGTTTTAACTCAATCTGGGTTGGTTTTCCGTCGATCCGGTCACTCGTTTTCGACACCTCCCACACCATCGTGTTCCTTGCATCGTTCCGAGTCCTCCGGTGCCCTTCTTGTATCCGTTGTCGCCGGCACGTGAGGGAGGTGAGGAAGCTTAAGTTTCCGACATTTTAAAATCGAGCTTTACACCATTCAAAATTGTGAACCGAGCTTGGTAAGTGTCTCAAAATGCCTTAAAATAATTTTATGAATTTTTCTGGAATTTTTTCGACCTTCTAGGCCTCCGCACGCTCCTCCACTCGCCACCCCTATGAGTGGGCTTCGTCTGGATCAGCTCGTTGACTTTGACTGAGTCAACCCATTGATATTTGACTGTTGACTTTGACTGAGTCAACTCGTTGATCGTTGACTTTGACCAAAAAGTCAAAATTTTGGAAAGTCACATTTTATGTTTTTCAACGTCCTGAGTCTGATTTCGAAGTCCGTTCACCAAATTCTAACCCGATAATTTTTTTTCACTGATTAATCACCAGATTCGATCCGTTTTTCGCAGTTAAGCTTTGTTTCTGATGTAATTTTGATTGCTTTGTATCCGAGGAATTAGTGGATGTTGAATTAAAGATCGAGGGTGATTGAAGGGAATTTAAATGGTCGATCAGTATGACACAGAAATCGAGGTAATACATTACTACCTTTTCATGCTTTATGGAACATATTGATATTAGTAAATGCATGAATATGAAAATGCTTGAACTCATCTGTATAGTTAGGTAATTCTTACACTCGATATGAATGCAGTAAAAAGACGGTAACTAAATAAAATTCTGATGGCTTGTACAAGAAATTAGAAGTTTGATAAGGAATAATTTCAAGTTCAGAGATTATTTGGAAAAGCATTTAACTCTAGGATCTCTAAATTCTATTTATCCTTTTTAAGAGTTTTAATACCGAAGTTACCTATTTAAGGAATTATGAAAATGCCCTTGAGATGTAAAAATGGTCCGAGTTGACCCTGAATGAGAAAGTACCCTGAGAATTTGTACCTAACCCGATAAATTACTGAATTAATTGTTAAGATCCTACTTTGGTATAGAAAATTTTTGATAATCCGTTAGTAACAATTGAGAAGGCAATTGACCCGAAAATCTCCAAGTTATGAATAAATACTTGAAGAATAATTCATCGTGGGTGTTCTTTTGTCAGAATTGTTCGAAAGGACTGAAATAGATGATAAGTTTGAATTAAATAATAAGATCAGACGTAAGAAAAAGATTGAAATACCCTGGATCTATAAAATGACCAAAATACCCTAGAATGCAAATAACCCAAGACTATCAGCAAGCCCATAAAGGATTGAATACCCTTCTGATTACTTAGAGCCTCCAAATATTTTATGATCCTGATGAATCACATTCTGAATAACTGATTATTCCGTCAGCTAATGAACTCTTCCGATAGTGATTCTAACTTCTGGCATCTTATCGGTATACTAAAGTACGTGTTTCTCTGCCCGATAAGATTATACAGTATCTCCGAACCATATCTAAAACCTCTAGTGTGTTCCCTTATCACCAGGATGTTTTCTCTGATTTCTGTTATGATTTCTGATCTCTGTTATGATTTCTGATCTCTATTATGATTTCTGATCTCTGTTATGATTTCTGATCTCTATTATGATTTCTGATCTCTGTTATGATTTCTTATATTTGTTATTATTTTTTATCTCTGTTTTGATTTCTGATATCTCCGTTATTGATGGAAAATGTTTTATTCGGGCCACTTTGGGATATGGTATGAAGACTCTAGCAGTTCAGGCGCTACGGTTAATTCCTTTTATACGTTCTGCACTGACTGGTAATCCCTTATGGACCTAAGTCGAGCCTTGGGTAGGCTTTGCGAACCTGAGATTTTTCTTGGGTAAGCCTTCGTGGCCCCTGGAATTATCTTGGGTAGGCTCTCATGCCCCAAGGTAATCCTTTAGGTTGTGCAGTTCTAGGGAACTGCACATGGCATTCGGTTGGAGGACGATTCAGAGTTTTTAAATTAAAAATTCCTATGATGTTTTAATGACTGTGATCTGTACTAATTTTTAAAAAAACATAATTGTTTTAAATGTTTTGCGGGAACACACTAGACAACCTATTATGATCTCCTAAACCCATACATCCGAAATATTTCCATCTGAACTGGAAGCTTACAGTCTGTTACTACCTAAAATATCCGTAAGATCTTCGCTCAGCATAAAAATCTGTAGATGTCTGAACCAATAAGGAAACATACGATTATTTGTTATATGCATATCCAGTAACATCATCTGGTAGTTATGTATTACTGAGCTTTCCAAAGCTCTCTCTGTTACTCACCTTTTCAGGTTAAAAGAATTGTATCAGTGTATCTATCGACATCAGTAAGGGAGTTCTTCCGGCGTTGCTTGCAGAGTATGGTACATGTGATCAAGGGGCATATATGTTGTATTTTGTTTTATATTTGAGTCTAAAAATCAGTTTTATTTCTAAATACTAATAAATTTTATTTTGTATTCATAAATCATTTTATGAGTTTACATGTTTTGATAAAAGTTTAAAATTTTCTGAGATTTTTACGGTGGGTCGCTCCGGTGTTTGAACTCAAAATCTCAAGAGAAAATTACACTCCTTTTTAGTTTTTACTATTAAGATCATTCAATGAGTTTAAAAAATTATATTTTTAAATATTAGTATGAGGGGACATTTGGTTCACGGAAAAGATAATTACTATGGAGAATAACCTTTTTTCGGAATCACATACACACGTTTGATTTAAGAGCGTTCCCTGGGTAATGAACCTAACAAGGTAGTACATTATTCATAGTAATATGTCAAGTAATGTTACATTTTGATAATTTTATTCCCAAAAGTAATCTTACAATCCATAAACCAAATGATCTCTAAGGATCAAAGTTAGAAATTTTTATTCGAGGTCAAAATTAAATTATAAATTTTTAATAAATTAATGTCAAAAAATTAATATTAAACAGACTAAATTGAATTAATGATTTCCAAGGGGATAAAATAATAATCTTGTCATTTTATCTAAGAGGGCCAAGGTCTCTCTATGCTTCCTTTAGACTCATCATTCTTGTTTCCTAATTTTAAATAATAATTTTTCATTAATTTTTTTTTATTAATTATAAGGGTTGTCATTTTTAATTTCAGTCTATATAATTTTTTTAATCCCCAAATTTAAAAAATAATGATTGATATTTGATCATTTATAATATCAACTCATCTTGTTTTAATCATTGAGGGGATATATCCTCTCCTTAATTTGATGATAAAGTCTCCAACTTTAATAAAAAATGTGAGATACAACAATGATAACACAACCTAATATAAAAATCTAAGGATGTGAAGAAAATAAAATAAAAACCTTACCATTATATGCTTAACCATACCAAAAAAATTATTAATAATCTTCATGTCTTCATTCAAAACTAGATGCAATATAATCAATCAGACGTATTATTTCATAAATTATTATGAATGTATTGACAAACTGCAGTGAAACGATATAACTATGAAAGACCGTCGACTTTTCCTGATTAAAAAGCACATCATAAATACAACACGAAACTAAGGAGGGGCATGGGTTGGGTTTTGGCCAACCCTACCTAACCAAAAAATTTTACATCCTTCACTCGACCCGACCCGATCCGAAAAATATATACCCTTCTCCCAACCCGAACCCGACCCGACTTTTTGAGATAAAATCTGAACCCGATCCAACTCGACCCGAAATAATAAAAAATATTATTTTTATTCAATAAAAATAGTTATTTAATTGAAAAAAAATTATATATAGAGGGTATTATTGTAATTATTTCTAAATATATATGGTAAAATTATATTTTTTTAGGTGGAGTTTTTCACCCTAAACCTGAATTCAACCCAACCCAAATATCATATTTAAAATATCCGATCTGAACCCAATTTTTTTAAAAAAACTCGACCCAATCGATCGGAACCAGCCGGGTTCGAGTCTCATGCCCATCCCAAAACCCTAAATTTTAATAATTGGTCCCATTTGGAATAACCGTGTATGACTAATTTTTACCAACCTTACCAAGCCTATTAAAAATCATTAATACCATAGGTAATTAGTACATCAAACATCAATGCTACTTTTTTCTTGTGAATTACCATTGGGTAGGAAAAAAATCAACATAACTTGTTTCTGTTAGCTTTGGATCGCAGACACACATTTACGTCACTCACATAGCTTTCAAACAGAGACGAACTTTGGAGAAATGGACTTGTTTACAAGTTCTTTGCTATGTCTGCTTTTCACATGGCTCCTTCTTCAAGCTTTCAACTCATTTAGAATTGGAAGAGAAAGCAAGCTCCCACCCGGTCCAAGGCGGCTGCCAATTGTCGGCAATCTCTTCGATCTCGGCGATAAACCCCACAGGTCTTTTTCTAAGCTTGCTCAGATTCATGGCCCCGTTATGAGTCTCAAACTCGGCACCTTGTTCACCGTCGTCGTTTCATCGAAAGCAATGGCCAAAGAGATCCTTCAGAAACAGGACCTCAACTTCTGTAACCGAACCATCGTGGATGCTGTTCGAGCCAGCCAACACTATGAATTCGCGCTGCCATGGATACCCGTGTCGCCGCTTTGGAGAACTCTTCGCAAGGTATGTAATACTCATATTTTCAGTAACCAGAAACTCGATGGCAATCAGTACCTGCGTCGGAACAAGATCCAACAACTGATTGCTCATGTTCGCGAAAGTTGTCTTAAAGGTGAAGCCGTTAACATAGGCCAAGCTGCTTTCGATACTACGATTAATTTGATGTCCAACACTATTTTCTCTACGGATTTGGTTGATCCAAATTCATCTATTGCTCGAGAATTCAGGGAAACAATTTGTAGTAGCATGGTAGAGGCCGGGAAGCCTAATTTGGCTGATTATTTCCCTTTGCTTCGAAAGATTGATCCTCAAGGTATACGACACCATATGACTGTTTATTTAGACAAGTTACTTAATATTTTGGGTAAAATGTTCGACGAAAGATCAGAATTAAGAAAATCCCAGGATTCTACTGCATCAAATGATGTTTTGGATACTCTTCTTGACGTTGTTGAAGAAGGAATCGAGGAGCTTAATAAAACTCACGTCACACACTTACTTTTGGTAATCTTTTCATCTTCTTCCTCTTTATAAATCAACATGTTTCTTGTGTCGTTTAACCATGTTAGATGACAGGTTTTATTTGTTGCCGGAACTGATACAACATCAAGCACATTAGAGTGGGCAATGGCAGAACTAATTCAAAACCCACATGTTTTACTTGAAGCCAAAAAAGAATTAGAGCAAACAATCGGCAAAGGGCATCCAGTCGAGGAATGTGATATACATCGTTTACCATATTTACAAGCAATCATTAAGGAAACATTTCGACTTCACCCGACTGTCCCACTATTACTCCCTCGCCGAGCCGGCTCCGATATCCACCTTTGTGGTTTCAAAATTCCCGAGGGTTCACAAATGTTGATTAATGTATGGGCTATCGGTAGAGATCCAAGAATTTGGGAGAATCCTAACAAGTTCATACCAGAGAGATTTTTGGGATGTGAAATTGATGTGAAAGGTAGGGACTTTGAGTTGATTCCATTCGGAGGTGGACGACGACTGTGCCCAGGGTTGCCTTTGGCGAATAGAATGTTGAACTTGATGTTGGGATCTCTTCTAAACTGCTTTGACTGGAAACTTGAAGGTGGAATCTCATCAAATGAAATGAACATGGAAGAAAAATTTGGACTCTCAGTTCATATGGCAGAACCTTTACGGGTAATTCCTGTTCTTGTCTTGGAGTAATATTTAAAATCATAGTAAAAATCTTCAAAAGAATTTGCTTATGTTATAACAGTATTGTTAATTTCCATTCAAATGATAAAAAAACTTGTCTACTATTAAAAATGAAATACTAAATAATAATGAATCAAAATCAAATATTTAGAATTGCTTGAATCTCTTCTTCACTGTAGATTCTCTTTTCATCTATCATATACATGTTTTGGAGGTTGTTGATACAACATAAAGGGTTACGTCGGCCGAAACGATTCACCCTTTTTAGTTAGAACCAAAAATCGCATTCGATTGTTGGTCGACCGATAATGTTACATTCCTTTCATATAAGTTGGGTCATTGCATTAATAAGTGAGTTGATCGAATGGTGAAGACTGATAAATGCATCGTAACACTTTATGATATCGTAAACAATATTAAAAGATATATTAATTATTTAAACTTATATATTATTAAAAATACTATATACTTATAATAAAAACAATAGAATTATACATAAAACATATATTAATTTAAAATATTAATCATTTAAACTTATATAATATTAAAAATATTATATACTCATAATAATACTAAATTAAAATAATTAATATTAAATAAAAAATATATCGATATTTATCGAAACTCAAACGACTCCTCGATTTTCTTCCGTATAAAGTAAAGGGTAAGATAATCTGTTTAATTGTTTGCCTGTTTTGTACTAGGATGGGATGATTTTATAGGCGGAGAGGGAGAGACGAGAAAACGCGAGAAAATGTTATTTAACCGTTAAAAAGTTAACGATAATGCTCACATATCAACATAAAATAATGTTACATCATTATTTAAAAAATAAAAAATGACACACCAGTGGTTTTATTAATCTTTTAACGTCTAATGAACAAAATAAATCAAAACATAACGTTATATATGATTTTTTAAAGAAGAAAAAAAATCAAAATTAAATGACCAAAACGAAACAAAAGTGATAGTTTGGTACTAAATTTTTTAGTTTACCCTAATATTTAAGTAAAAATATCAAACTAATTTTAATTTTTTGGGTAAACTACACGGTTAGCACCTAAACTTTCACTTTTGATCCGATTTAGTACCTAAACTTCCAATTATTTTAAAAATGTACCTAACATTTAGTTTTAATTTCATTTTAGTACCCCGTCATTAAAAATTTAACGACATAGCTGACTTGGTATTTTTGTAATTATTTTCTTAATTTTTAGATTAAAAAATAATTTAAAAAATGTCACGTTAGCTCTGCCGTTAATTTTTAATGGGAGTTACTAAATTGAAATTAAAACTAAATGTTAGGTATGATTTTAAAATTATTGAAAGTTCAAGTACTAAATCGAATCAAAAGTAAAAGCTTAGGTACTAACCTCGTAATTTACCCTTATTTTTTAAAATTTAAATATATTCTTTAAAATTTCTATTGATAGTCGTGAAAGACATTTTTGGTATTACTTGTAAAAGCTTCTTAACTTATAATGGAGTTGCTGACTAAATATCAAATGCATTAAAACCGTTGTTTAACAATCAATTTATTTCTTCAACTATACCTTCTTTTTTATATTTAATTTTTTCTTAATATAGTTTATAATTTATACCGTCAAACGATATTATTGATAAAAATAAGGGTCCGTTAGTTTCATTGAAAACATTTTTCAGAAAATGTTTTCCGTAAAAATGAATTACATCTTCTGGAAAATATTTTATGGTGTTTGGAAAATGTTGTGCAAATCATTTTTCACTTGTTGATAATTTTTTTAAAAATTATTTATTGCAAATATAAAATATAATAAATAATATTATTTATTATTAAAATATTATTTCTATACTTTTATAAATAAAATATTAACTTTAGTATATTCTATTAAAATAAAAATATGATAAATTATATTGAATATCTATAAAAATAAAAATATTATATTATATTTTAAAATTATTAATAAATATATTTTAAGGAATTTTATAATATTATTAGGCTATTATATTAATATTAAATAAATAAATAAAAGAGTTCACTATTAATAATTCAATAATATTATTTTTAAGAAATTAATAAATAATATAACTTTTATTAATAATTTATTATATATATTATTAAAATAAGAATATAATAGTATCATATATTATTATAATATAATTGAGTATATTATTGTAATAATAATATTATTATATTATATTATTAAAAAATATTAATAAATATATTTTAAATATGTTAATAATTAATATTTTTATTAAAACGATATTGAAATATCATATTAATATTAAATTTATAAAATAATATTATTTTGAGTATTTATGTTTTGAAGTGAAAAGTTTGGAAAATGACTTACGGAAAATTAAACCGTAAGTCATTTCCCATAAAATGCAAAGGAAATTTTGTTGATCAGAAAAATGTTTTATATTGATCAATCTGTTTTCCTCCAACCAAACACTGAAAAGTGAGGAAAACGTTTTTCGGAAAATATTTTACGTGAAACAAACAGACCCTAATTATTGATTTTCTTAAATGTTTTAAGTTTGAACAACTACGTCTATATGATTTTTGAGAATTGTTAATAGATTAAGAGAGCTCTAGAAAAATATTATCTTATAATCATCTCGGTCTATTAAAAAAAATTAATTCAAATGATTTATACCCTAATTTTGTCTAAGCAATTCAAATTAGATTGAGAGCGATGGAAGAGGAATTTGAAGATTGTTCATGAGTTGATACTGGACCACATCAAGCGGCATTGATGGCATAAGCGAAAGTAGTTCGTGGAAGTATGCATGTAATGGGAGCGCAGAAGAAATTTGGTTGTGAATGATGAATTTAAGTGTTTGCTTATTTAGGCTTGGTTGGACTTGGAACCATACATGATCGTCATGGGCATAAACCCTAAATTAAACCAAAAACTCAAATGATTAAATTCATTCCAAGTTAAATGTCTATTTATAACCAAAAGCCCAAATCATTCATTTCATATCCAATACTCATTACAAATTAAATTCAAATATCCACCCAATATCCAAACCCATTTACAACCTAAGACCAATTACATCAGGCTCGAAATATTAACCAAAGCCCTAAAACTGATCAGCCCAAATGCCGCTCCATCTTCCACGCCAGCAGTTCCCCACCAGCAACTCAGTCACGCACACAACAACCTCAACAGTCCACGTGAGCAGCACCAGCGACCCCTCATGGTCCAAGTAGCCACGACAACCACCACGCATGCAACCGAGTGGTCCCAAGCCATGAATCTGACCTCCAAATCAGCCTCCTCATCACCCATGCAGCAACCACACGTGAAAGACAAAAACAAAAGCAATGTAAATTTTATTTTTCATTGTAACAGCAGGGTTACAAAAACCCAAAAAATAATGAAAAGTGGTTCCTCCCCTTCGAAAAAAACGATTGTTCTTCCCCCGATTAGGGCTTCTTCTTCTCTCGAAAACAAAAAGAGTGTAACAATTCCGAAGCAAAGAACAAATCAATAGCAAAGAAAAAGTTCCTCTTTTACCTTCATTTTCCATGTTTTTTTGGTGTTATTTTCAAACTAAAAAACAGAGTAAAAAGAAGAGAGCAAAGCGTTAGCCTTCGCCTTATCGGCAGGAGGTCGCGCGGGAGTTGGGTGTCGTGGGTGAGGAGTCGGGTAGTCGGTCTCCCTTAGGCGTTCGTAGTGGCTTGCATGAGCTTTAGTCTCGTCGTTTGGGTTAGATAAAGAAAAAACGCTGACCTACAGCGTTTCGTGGTGGCCGGTGTCGATTTTGGGCTCCTTTTGGGGCTTGGTTGAAGGAGATGAAATGGGAGAAAGGAGGCGAAGAATTTATGGTCACTTAGACCTTGGTTTGGGGTGTCTTTGATCGGGTTTTAACACCGGTCAGTGACAGAAGGACACCAGGTCCGGTGGACGGCGATGGGGGCCTGGAGACCTTTGTATGAGCGCCCGCGTGTATGAAGGCGAAGGGAGAGAGTTAAGAGAGTTTTTCCTTTTTTTTCTTAGGTTTTGGTTTAGGTTTAAACATACTAAATCTTTTACTAAACCTATCATTTTTTTATCATTATATTTTTTCTATTTTTTATTAAAGCTTTTTAGACAAGTATAATGATTATGTAATGATTATTTTTTTTATTAAAATTTTTTTATTATTAAAATTTTTTATTAAATTATTTTTCATTTTTTTGATAACGTAGGACCTCCTAATGTTAGGTTAAAGAATCCAACCCTACAAGGCAACCTCCGGAGGGACTCAAAGAACCTACCACTCTGTCTCCCCTTTTTTTTCAGCATTCCAAGCCAACGCGGTTTGAACCTAGTACATGAGACCAGCTCATAATCCCAAGAGCCATTACTTTGCCAACTGGGCCTCGCCTGCGGTGGTAAGTATTTTTCATTTAGGGTTATTCTAAATATATCAAATCTTTTATTAAACCAATTATTTTTTTATCATTATGTTTTTTCTATTTTTTTATTAAAACTTTTTAAATATGAGTAATGATTATGTATTTACTTTTTTATTAAAGTTTTCTTTTTTTATTATTAAAGTTTTTTATTAAAGTATTTTTCATTTATTTTTTCAACATGGTAATAACTGTTCAAATTTATTTTCTCTGATCCGTTTGATTTTTCAGTATGTTGTTTATGTTGGACTTGCGCAACTTTTCACCGTTCGAAACGTTGATCGTAGATCCCGATCTCCATAAAGAGACCAAAAACTGTTCAGATTTATTTTTTCTGATCCGTCGCTTTCCAGCGAACGATCGTCCTGATTTTTCAGTATATTGTTCGTGTTGACCTTACGCAACTTTTCACCGTTCGAAACGTTGATCGGAGATCCCGATCGTCGGTGAAAATCCGACAGAATGCAAGAAATATTTTTTTTTCTCTTTTTTCTCTTCAATTCTTCTCTCTCCTATATGCTCCTCCTTATTCTCTTTGATTTTCATGATGAATTTTAGTATAATGTAGTTGATGATTTAAAATAATAGGTAATGAATTTTTTAGTGGAGTTTTATTTAATGGGTAGTGGGATTTATTTATGATGAATTTTAGTGTAGTGGATGATTTAAAATTTTAAGTAGTGAGGTTTGACTTGGTAAGTTTAATAGAGTGGGGGTTGACTTGGTAGTTTTAGTAGTACTTTTTTTTAACCTAAAATGATTAAGTATTAGCATTTATTAGAATTTAGTGGTTTAATCCTCCTTAGGCCCCCGAAACTTAGAAGATTTTTTACAAAACATACACCTTTTTATCCTCTTTTTCTATTTGTTTCGATTTTGACCTAATGATTTTATTTTTTTTATTTTGGTCATTTTTTGATGCTTTCATATTTTGGATTGATCTGCTGTTTTTACTTATTTATATTTTGGTCATTGATTCATGTTTTGTTTATTTTAATTTTGATATGTATCTTTTGTCAATTTATATTTTAGTCACTTTTAATTACGTTATTTCATTTATTTCTAATTTGGTATGGTTTTTTTCTTTATTTTATTTTAGTCCCTTATTTTAAAATGTTATTATTCGAATGTTAATATGACCTTGTGGTGACTCTCCCTGGGGTATGATGCATATTATTTATGGTCCAGGTAAAATTCTAACTTAACCGCTAACTACTAATTTACTAACCCCTAAATTTTTATAAAAATATATTCGAATCATCTTACGACCTCGCAACGATCCACCCTGGGGTATGACTTACGTTATTTATGATCCGGGTAACAATTAAAAATTAACCTTTAACTTATAATTTTATTCGATTGATTTATTTTCTGTTATTTATATTTTCCCCTTTAAATTTCTATTATTTTAATTTATGCCTTTACTTTTCAGCACTTACATTTTAGTTCGTTAATTTTTTTTAATAATTATTTTGACTTTATTTTCTATTTTATTTTGTTTTAGTCACTATGCTTGCTCTATGATTCTAACTATTCACTTTTAAATTATTTTAGTTTAGTCCTTTTATGCATTTTAATTGCTTTCAATTTTTAGTTGATAATTTAAATTTCTTTAAATTTAGTCCTAGAATCTTTTATTTTAATTTAAATCCCAAAATATATAATATTTTTTAATTTAGTCCTTGATATATCACTTTTTCTTTTAGATTTAATCCTTAAAAGTTAGACTCTTTAAGTTTAGTCCCTAATTTCATAATTATTCGATTTGTAGTTAGTCTTTAATTTAGGGAATTTTTAATTTGGTTCTCGCTTTTGCTTGAGGTTTTATTTTAATTATTCGATTCAGTAGTCAATTAAAATTAACTAGGTTAATAATTAGGGCCTCCATTTTAGGCTTAATTTCAAACTTAGTCCTTAAAATTAGAGAAATTGTTAATTTGGATCTCGTTTTTTCTCGAGTTCCATTTTAATTATTCGAATCAAATGATTGGTTAAAATTAATTAGGTTAATAATTAGAGCCTTCACTTTTGGCCTAATTTCATATTTAGTCCTTTAATTTAGGAGAATTTGTGATTTGGTCCTCACTTATACTCGAGGTTCCTGTAATATCTCAAATTTTAGACTGGTGGTTGGAATGTATAATTTGAAAGTTTAGAGACTAAAGTGTAATGTTTTAAAATTTTAAGGGCTAAAAATGTATATTTTCAAAAGTTAAATTTTGGATTTTTAAATTAGTAGTTAGCTCAAGACAATTATTTTAGTGGGTTTAAGAATTTTGATCTGGATTTTGTATAAAAGCCTATTAAAGGATAAAGTTCGATATATTATTCGGAAAATCAGATCGAATCAGAAGTTTATAAAAATTTCAAGGAAGGTATATTTGGGTTGGAAAAATTATATGGATATTTTTAAAATTTTAAATTTAAGTTGGATCAGTGGAATTTGGTGAGAATTGCACTATAAAGTGAGATAGTGCTATTTAGTGACGAAAATGAAGTTTTGGAAAGTTGGAGTGTCAAAAAGAAAAATTGAGAAATGAGAATTATACAGTTATTTAATAATATTAAAATATAGATGAAGGAGTGGCATGGAGGTAATTTTGGGAATTCATTAAGGGTAATTTTGACTTTTGAGCTAAAATGAATTTTTTAATTAATTTTAAGGTGGGTTTTTAAAAAGATATTTTGTGAGAATATCAAGAAGTCTCGGATCATCTTCTCCATTCTGTCGTGACTCCATAGCCAAAGGTGAGTAAGTTTTTATTTTTCATTTTTGGTACATTTTAATTAAGATTTGGACTAAAGTGTGAAAAATAAAAATAATCACTATTAAATTCTCTTTCATTTGGTAGTAAAATTACATGGTTTCATGCTTGTGTTGTGGAGTTTGTGAATTTTATGGATGAAGGAAAGATATGGATTCAATGAAATTAAGCTTGATTTTGGTGCTAGGAGTGTTATGGAGTAAAATACAAGCTTGAAAGTTGAATAAAATTTTTAGAGGGACTTGTTTAGCGAGTCGGCCATAAGGGAATTCATAGAGGAAATATTAGTTTTGGTTGTTTTGACGTGGGATTGATGGAATCAATTAAGATTTGTTGAGCAAAAATAATGGGTTTTTGTATCTGTTGCTCAATTACCTGCGTTTGCAATGGTATATTTCGATTTGTATTTTTTTTAGCTTTTGTAATAAAAAAAATGCAAGGAAATCATGGAAATTGGAGAAGCTGTTAGGGCGCACCACTTATTGCAATGATGAAACAATTCTTAACATACTAATATTGATCACAAACGAGAATCATGAATTGATTGGGTAAGTTTGAGTAGATCGGTGATAATGTTTAGTGGTAGAAGCGTTGGTGTCTGTGGGATTGAGCTTCTTGTATTCGATTATTGTGTGACTAAGATTGTTGTTGTTGGGTAAGCACATCTTTGTTGTTATTGAGGCGAGTTTGTTGATTAAATTGATGAAGTTCAAGTTAGCTTTTAGTAGGGTGATAGAATCTTTATCGAATGTGTTTTTATGGTAATTTTGGAATTTTATTTGGATGTGAATCTATTATATTAGTTAAAGTACTAATTCGTATTCGAAATTGTTTATGTTAGAAAATTGATGATATGAAGATCGTGATTGAAAACAAATCGAACCAAAAGAAAAGGATTAAGTTCGAGGGTGCAAGGAAGATAGTAATTAAAGTGCAGTGAGGCAACATGTGAGTGCAACTTATTTATTTTATATTCGATATGAGGACGGCTTGCGATGATCCTACCTCGAAGATTTTCGATTGAAAAAAATTTGAATTATTTTATGAATATCTTTGTAATGATTTACTGAATGGGTTTTATATATGATTTTGGGTTTGAATGACCTAATACTGATTATTATGAGATTTTTATTTGTTTTATATTCGACTATATGAATGATTTATATGGAGAACAATATATGATTTTGAATTACGCCCATTGTATGAGATTGAGAGTTAGTGGTACAAATGACATGTCATGAGGTGGAGTGATTACTGATTATTGTTCATTGATTACTGATACTGTTACTATATATGCACCGTGGGTTCACGATGTTGTGACATTGTGAAATACGTATCGGATTACTGGTACAATGATGTTGTGTTTTACAGTTCCTGTACATTATTGTTACTGGCACTGGAAGTGCAAACTGTTAATGATAATAAAATTGCAAATAGCAGCGCACACACTCGTTTACTGACTCGCATATTTTATATTCTCATAATGATATAGTGGGTAATAATATGAATTGAAATAGAGTAGTACAAAATTGATGTGACACAGTACTGTTGATTGTCAGACTCTTAAGTAAAATTTTTATTACGAGTTTTGAGCTGATAGTTAAATTTATAACTGCCAGTATATGTAAATAATTTTATTGATCGCAATTGGATTCATAAATGTTTAATTTTCATAATATTTTCTTTATATATGATATCACATGTTCTACATATTAAAGGTTTTGTTTGTTTTATTATGTTGCTTCACTAAGTAGAAAACTCAGTGTGTGATTATTTTACATGTAGGTAAAGGGAAATCAACAGAGGAGTACGGAGCCAGGTAAAGCATCTCATATTTTGAAATGCAGTTTAGACGACAAGAATCAATATGACATTTTTATGATATATTGATATTTCTTAGTTGACATGTACATATTTATATTTTGATTCTCTAATTTGATATGTTTGAACTGCTTTTGATTTAAACTCTATATACGCTAGTTTATTAAATGAAAATTATCAGATATCAATCGTATTTTATTTTAGTTTAGATGAATATTAACTTGACTAGTTATTTTTCTTATTTTATTTATATTAGTTGACTTTAAAAAAAACATATTTTTTCTAATTTTCTAACAATATTTGTTTTGTATGACTATGTGACATTTTTGACTCGTATACGGGTACGTATATGAGTTAAGGGTGTTACAGTTCCATTTTGACTATTCTACTCAATAACTTATTAAAAATGATTTGGATTAACATTAGATCCTATATTTTAGGTTTAATCCCCATCGGTTTTTTAAATCTCATAATTTGACACTTTAAGTTAGAGAGAAGCTCTTGATTAACTCATTTAGATAATTCTGTTCAATAATAGATTGTTTGATTGCATTTTGATTTAAAAATAAGACAATGTACATTTATTGGGGGTTAATAGTGTATCTCCCACTTTTGCCTGGAGGTGGCCGTTATTGATTATCGAAATAGATTAACATCCTTTTAAAAAAACTCACATCATGATTTTTAAATTATTAAGGCAATGTTCATTTATTGGGGTTAATAATAAAGCTTTTTCTTGGGGTGGTTGTTATTGATTTTGGTAAATCGACATCCTCTTCAAACTTTGCATACATAATGATTTTTAAGTTAAATAAAATTTCGAACTCAAAATTCTCAATTTTAAAATATAGGCTAATTGATTGGGTACTAATTTTGGGTGTTGTGAGGATGCTAATCTCTCCCCACAAGTAATTGACTCCCGAACTTGATTTATGATTTTATTAAATTACCTGATTTTAGATATTCAAATATTACCTTAAAAAATGATTGTTGACGACTTCCATCTTTTCATAAATTTATATTTTTTTCAAAACATCAGATTTGTTTTCCCGCCAAAAATCGATTACGACAATAATGTTTATACTTTAACAATAATAAAATATGTTTAAACAAATATCACCTTTTAATTATATCATATTATTAGGGGAAAAAGTTACATGAGAAAGTGAGTGGAACTTATAGGGGTGTTCATTTTTCGGTTTTAATCGAATTAATCGATCGAACTGAATTAGTTTGATTAATTCGGTCAGCCACCGAATTAGTTCGGTTAATTCGGTCGGCCACCGAATTAGTTCAGTCGGGGAACGATTAATAAATTTTTTAGAATTTGATTAACGGTTAATTCGGTTCAAAATGGGTTAATTAACCGAATAATCGAAATTAAATTTTAAATTTTAAATATTTTATATATAACATATGGGATTAGTCCAAACCATTTAAAATCGAATTAATAATTTAAGATACAATAATTTTTAAACATAAATAAATATTAATTAATTAAAAAATCTGTATAAAAAATTTATTTTATAATTATATATTTTTTAAATTAATTGTAAATTATTTTTTTTAATTAAAAAATATTCAATTTTTATATAAATTAGAATTTTTTAAAAAAAAATCGGTTAATTCGAAAATTAATCAAATTAACCGAAATTTATTCGGTTCGGTTAATATTTTCAAAAAAATATTTGGTTCGATTAACGGTTAAAGAAAGAAAAAAAAATCGGTTAATTTGGTTAATGGTAATTCGATTCGGTCGGCCACCGTTTTAACTAAATGAACACCCCTGAGAACTTACATCCCTTTCCTGCTTGTGATGTAGACTTGTAATTAGGGATGTGTATGTGACTCGAGCCCGATTAGATCGGGTCGGGTTTTTTTTTAATTTGGGTTTGGGTCGGTTTTTAAAAAAAATAGGGTTCAGATCGCTTTTTTTTAAAAGGTGATGCTCGGGTCGGGTTGGATTCGGGTTTAGGGTGAAAATACCTGATCCGACCCGACCCAAAAAAAATATAATTTTACCTTATATATTTATGAATAATTACAATAATAATCTTCTATATATTATTATTTTAATTAAATTACTGTTTTTATTGAATAAAAATAATATTATTATTATTATTTCGGATTGAATTTATATTTTTTTCTTAAAAAATTGAGTTGGATTCAGGTCAGGTGGAGAATATGTATTTTTCGAGTCAAGTTGAGTGAATGATATAAAATTTTCGTGTCGGGTCGGATTGGTCAAAACCGACCTATGCCTATCCATACTTGTAACTTTGTAAGTAACAAATCTTAGAATAAAGACTGATGGTGACGTTGACAAGTTACATTTCGCCAAACAGCAAATGCATTAAAACATTGTTTAATTAATATTCAATTTAGTTATTAAATTATTAAATAATTACACGTTTCGTTACACATTTAGTATCTAAATTATTATTTGTATTCTATTTTGATATCTAAACGTTTTTCAAAATCACATCTAACGTTTTATTTAAGTTTTATTTGTTGTACCCATTGTATCAATACCAGGGATGGGATCAAAGCTTGGTATATAACGTTTAGTTTCTAAATTATTATTTCTATTCTATTTTTTGTACCCATTGTATCAATACCAGGGACTGAATTATATATTTTTAAAATTCAAAGCTTGGTATTAATACCAGGGATGGGATCTGATTTCAAAATGGGACACCCAATATCAATACCATTGGTTTTGGTACCAAAATCCATTTTGAAATCACCAATTTTGACATCGAAGATTGGATTTCTATATTAAACCCCCAAAACCTTACAAATCAATTTTTTTTTTTAAATTTGAGGACACCTCAAATCACTTACCATCAAGATTCGTGCTTTTAAAACCACTCCCCCATTAGAAAATGTACTCATAAAATTGCACAAACATACCATAGATATTCCAACGTATTAAAATCCATATAAAATAGGAAAAAAATATTAGTAATACATAAAATTTAAATAAATTCATAACAATTTCAGATGCACAAAAGTACATTTTAAACAAACAATTTCATATACACGAAAAACCGAAATCGAGAGGAAATGATGGGAATACTTACAGTGGGTTCCTTGAAAAACAACAAAGAGAGCAACGACTAATGGTGATCACGAACAGTTCGAATCGTAAGCCTCCACGAAAACATGTCTTGGCCTCTACTTAGTTCACCCGATTGAGAGCAAAAATTTACTTTTCCAAAAAACAGTTTTGAGAAAAACAACTAAGATAAATGGCTGTTAGACCTTACACCACTTTAAATATCCGAGTTACCCTAACATATTAGGGATTTTTTTATTTCGAATTAATTACATTCTTATTTAATTAATTCAAATTAAATATGCATTAAATACTTATAATCTGAATTACACTCTTTAACGTTTATTCAATCTCTTATTTAATTATTACGAATTAAATATTCATTAAAAGAGTTGTAATCAGAATTATATTCTTTTAATGTTTACTTACTATGTTCGGGATAATTAAAATCATATGTATATCAAATATACTTATATTAACTCTAGATATATTTTAGTAACGTACAACAAATTGTACATCTTTGCTCATTTCAATCCTAGGCACAAGTCAGCCCATATATATATTGTTTCTTGATATCTAGAGTAGACTATAATTAATGAATAATTTGTGATATCTCATATTAACTTATTCGAGCATGACCATGAATTTATAGTCTCACTAAATTAAGTGGTCTGTGATATATTTATTATTATGTAGAAAGGACAAATCCTATATTAATCATATACACCCCACTACATATATCGAGATATATTCAATATCAGTCTTTATAGTACAACAAGTTACGGAGCATGTTTAACTATATCAAAACATACAACAATATATGTTGGGATAACATTGATCTCAAGTCTGAGGGTCATACATATAGTCATCGCCATGAGCAATGTTATGACCGTCATATAATAATCAAAGACATATGCTAATGGTGGGTCAATCCAATATATTATTATTTAACAATATAATAATGTATCAATTCTGACATCTCTATGTCAATGACAACTCGTTGTCATCAATCAATAACATGCTAGTCTTAAGCATATTATTATTGTCCATGCCCATAATAATACTTGACTATGGATCTTTTAATAATAATAATAATATGTTATTATACAAACTTTATTATCTTTCAGTTTATGTTAAACACATATATATAACTGAAAATAATAGTGACAATGTCTTTATTCAATAAAATCGATAAATAAAATGTATCATTACAATCATCATATGATTGATCTTTGGACATACTCTAACAAAATTACTATAAAAATTATATAAAATGTGATGAAATATACAATTCATACACTTCAAATACAATTAAAAATGAATAGAATCTAATTTAAAATTATATAACAAAAAGAAACTGTTCATACAATATTTTTTATTAAATAAATGTATTATATTAAAATTTGAACCTACATAATAAGATGAAATAATGTGAATATTGTTTAACTATTCAGTCAATTAACTAATTTATATTCTTATAACATTTTAATATATCTATAAGGCATAAACCCAAAAAAAAAACCTTATAAAAATTTAAACGAATTTATTTTCTCTGTTTAAAAATTTTCAGAATAAAATTAATAAATTTTCTAAAAGAAATTATACACACGTTATTTATCGAAAATATGTGTTAAAAAGAAAATAATCAGATAACAACAACGATATAAATGTGTGTTAGACCTTCACTCCATTATTCATTGAGAGAGAAAAAATATATTTAAATTCCTTAAAAGCGTTTTATCTTTGGGTAAACTATAAGTTTAGACTTAAACTATTATTTTTGTTCTGTTTTGGTACTTTAAACTTTATTTATTTTTTCATAATTATACCCTATGTTTTATTTATGTTTCATTTTGATACTCACCGTTAAAAACTTAAGGGTGATGTTAACTTGTCACCGTAAGATAATGCCACATCGTCAGTTCTTTTAATTTTTTAATTGCATGATACCAAATTGAACGTAAACTAAACGTTAAATTTGATTTTAGAAAAAATAAAACTTAAATATTAAAATGGAATAAAAATAATAATTTAAATATTAAATGTGTAGGTTATCCTTAGATTTATTGGATTAATTGTACCCCACTAAGATTA